TTTCATAAAAGGTGGCAAGATTTATGTGCCTCACTTTCTCCATTTAGCTCGGCGCCTCAACAATGGAACATGGTACGCACCCTCCGATAGCCAGTAGTACACTCGAGACCACTACAAGCTCTAGCACTGTCTCGAGGAGTTAGCGAACGCGTGATTCCCGAAGAATTTTGCGATCTTTACTGAGAAATGGAGAGACCGTCCAAACAAGCGAATATAAATCCTCAGTAGAATCAGCTTTGGCGGTTGTACCAAAGTTGTCTGCGGTCAGTTCATCAGATCTGGATGATAATTAACTTCTCACTAGAGGAGCTCCAATATGTGCTGTCTTCAGTAAACCAAAGAAGTTCACCATGAACAGATGGAGTCACATTCGCTGCACTTGCTAATTTGTGCGAGAAAAGAAAATTACACCTGTTGGACATCTACAATAAACGTTGGCAAGAAAAAAACTTCCACGAAGTTGGAAGATATCAAAAGTAGTACCGTTGCTCAAGCCAGGGAGGAGCTCTATGCAGTTGGACTCGTTCAGGCCAGTTAGTTTGACAAGTTGTTTTTCGAAAGTGATGAAAAAAATTATCAATGAACGAATTCTGTGATAGCAGGACGTGAAAAAAATACTACCAGAAAGAATAGCCGGCTTCGGAAAAGGTAGATGCACAATGAACTGCATTCTGGATTCGGTCACAGATGTGGAAAACCAACGAACGCAAGGAAACATCATTTTCGCTGTATTCCTTGATGTCCACTGAGCATACGACACAGTGATTCACTTTCACGTTCTGTAAGGCCTGGCGTTACAGGGATTCAAGGGCGAGGTACTGCATTAGATCGCTGACTTCCTGAAGCACCGGCAAATTTCGTAGTTACGCAGGAGGGCCGAACGTCAGAACATGTCGTCAACCAAGGAGTGCCACAGGGCAGCATGCTCAGCCATACTCTCTTTATTGCACGTCTAGTGGCTAAGGTACTCGGCTGCTGACCCGCAGGTTGCGGGTTCAATTCCCGGCTGCGGCGGCTGCATTTCCGATGGAGGCGGAAATGTTGTAGGCCCGTGTACTCAGATTTGGGTGCACGTTAAAGAACCCCAGGTCGTCGAAATTTCCGAAGCCCTTCACTACGGCGTCTCTCATAATCAAATGGTGGTTTTGGGACGGGAAACCCCACAAATCAATCTCTTTATTGCAGTCATGGCGCAGCTCCAGTATAATCTTTCAACTAACATCAGATGTTCAGTATATGCTGATGATATAAGTATATGGATGTCTGGTCCATCGTTTTTGGATGTACAATATACTTTACTACAAGAATTGAATTATGTAGGCCGTTTTCAAAGAAAAAGAGGTATGGCACTGAATCTGGCTAAAACAGCCATACTACCGTTTACATTAAAAAGACCAGGAGATTTCCAAATTATTTCGCGAAACCACCTCATTCAAATGGTTAAAACTCATAAATTCTTGTGAGTAACTTTAGACCGGAGACTAACATGGTCGCCTAATCTCCAGTCTCTTGAACAAAAAGTAAATCGGGCCGTTTGAATGTTTTGGTATCTCTGCGGGGCCAAATGGGGTGGTACTACAGAGTCATTATTAGCCCTGCATGTTGCCTGGATACGCCCCATCGTAAGTTACTCACTGCCTCTGCTGTACGGACTTCCAGCCTCCACCGAAAGGAGACTTCACTTGTTATTGGCAAGGTGCTTCAGGGTATGTCTGGGGTCACCACGGTCAACTTCCAGTGCTTCAGTGTATGCAGAGGATCGACCGCCACCCTTGGCAGTACTCCGAACTAAAGAAACTTCTCGAAATTCATTTAGAATTTTCACGTAACATGAAAGTAATTCTTTATCTGGTGCACTAACACAAAGGATGGCAACGAGACTATAGGATAGTGTATCATCATTTCAAGAAGTAATACAGGAATTTCAACAATAGAAACCTTGAAAACCACCTTGAATGCTGCCACTTCTCAACGTTATCTGTGAAATAGACGGCATAGAGAAGAAAGCAGACAGGGCACCTTCAGTAGCGACACAGATGGTACATTATCAGCTTCACATAATGCATAATGAAAAAACGAAGATATATACAGACGGATCATGCACTGTAGTCGCGCAGGCCTGTGCGGTATTTATACCCGAAATTTAGAAAAAAAGAATGTACAAATTATCGCACATATCTTCATCGGTGACAGCAGAATTGGTGGCTATTTTTGAAGAGTAAAGCTTATCTGCGAGAATCCTGAGCCACGAAAGTGGGTGATATGCACGGATAGCAAACCTGCTCTTCAGCTGATCAGAACTGTGACGTCACTTTACATAAATGGTGAAATAGCACAATATATTGCAGAAACTGTGGAATATGCCCCATCGCAGGGTCACAACATCATATTCTAACAGATACTAAGCCACATTGATATAAAGGGAAATGAAGAGGCTGACAGCCTCGCGAATGAAGCATTGAAGGGAGGGCAGGATTGCGCACTCCTTATGTCTGGGGCGGATATTCGACATTTTATAACGCAAGGAGCTAAGCATTGTTTGATGAAGAAGTGGTTTGAGAGCCCTAAATCAAAGAAAACAGTACTCTAGGAAGTTGATCCACACAGAAAGTTTTCCATAGCGACAGACCTTGCACGACACCTAGAGACATTAATCCACGGACTCAGATTGGAAGTAGCATACACAAACAGCTTCCTGTACAAGATACATCGATCCAACTCACCGGAATGCCATTGTGGTCATGCAGAAGAAAATGTTCGCCATATTCTTTCGGAGTGCGCTAAATACTTGAATGAAAGAGAAAACTTAAAGAACAAATTAGCAAGTTTAGACTGACGGCTCCTCACAATAAAAAAACTACTTGAACCATGGCCTGAGATGCATCTCCAGAAAAAGGCAATAATCTTCCTGACAGACTTTTTAATGGAGACTGGACTGGACAAGCGCCTATGATAGACAGCCAGAAATAGATAAATATAAAATGTGTTTACGCATATGCTGCCAGTAGAAAAGGAAGGTGTGTGTGTGAACAGTTTATGACTGTGTCAAGTGCTCTAAGAAAACTGTGTATTGGCATGATATTTGAACTGCTTTCAGTGTGCTATTAATTTTTTTCTTTTCCGTATTGGTAATTTTAGTACCGTTCTGTATTATTGTTTTTTTCGCTGTAGATCTTCGTGATATGGAGCAGCCGAGGCATTATGCACCTCAACCTCTCCACAGCAAAACAGCCAAATTAGAACAGAACATAACAGAACAGAACATTTTTGATAAGCTTGCAAATTACTTGCATGCAAACAATTTTGCAACTGTTTCACAGTCGCAGCAAGCATTCTCGAGTCACATAATAGTACTGAGGGTATAGTAGCTCAAACACACAAAACGCCACTCATATACGATCTAAGCCCTTATGTAGCTTTATTAAAATTCACTTTAAAGTTACCCGCAATCCTTTGTGCTTCTGCTATAGTGAAAGAAAAGTTGGCTTACGTGACATATGGGCAATGTTTACGAAAGTGAGAAATTCTTTCTTTCTTCCAAGTTATTTTTGTGACTATAGTATTACAACTATATATCAACAATTACGAATACCACAATGAGGCCGTGATAATGCATAATTCAAAATGAACGAGAACTAGGGAAACCAGTTAATATCTTGCACTCCTGATCTCAAATAACACTTAAGATTTAATTTATTACAAGCTAATTTCTTACTACAAACCTTGCGCACAATAGAAGTCACCAATAATAAATCATGCATTATTGCAGCAGCAATAATACACAACTGTGTAACAGCAGCTGTTCAAAGAAAACCTTTGATCCTGCCATCGTGTGGGTCTTACGGTAAGGAAACCAAATCACAGTCGGTAAAGAAGACCTTCGTTGATGACAAACTTGTTCCCAGTAAATGTAGCAGCACTCAATGTGCAGCGAAAGTGGCAAGTGCATAAATCGCTATTGTAATTTATTTTAATTTCAATTCCTTATATTCTCATGGCATTACAAAGGGAAGAGAATAAAAAGGTAGTAAAAGGAAACAAGAAACACCGAGATTAGCAAATAAAGATAGACGCTGTTTGGCTTCTATTTATAGAGTTTTAGCTAGTGTTGTTCAACCTTTGTGTGTAATTTGATTTATGCAGATAATCGCCGGCTTTTATGCATGTGACATCAGAAATTGAGGCCTTTTGCTTTGCTGGTCCTGTTAGCATCAGAATAAACTGTACTCTGCACCCTCCTGGAACCTCCACGTAACAGAGAACGTTGGACATTGTGGCGCCGCGCGCCCAGAGCAGTAGTTGCACGCAGAAGGGTTCACTTGGTCGAACTTAACAAAATAATAAGCGGCAGTAGCACTAAGTAAGTAGTTCGGAGCTGCTGAATTAAATATATAACTAACAAAATTTCTTGGCTTGCTATGAAAGACCAGTGATTCCCATACACTTCCAACCACGTGCCTATAGGCAAGCTTTGCCTGCACCTTCACATCACCTACAATCACCAATGCAGATGCGCAAAAGTCATTCATGAAAACACAACAATAATTGCTTTATTCTAAATTAGTAGGGAGTGCATTAGGTCAATTTATTTGCCGATTTTTCAAAAAGGTTTCTTTGTCTTGATCTATTATTTCGTTGGGCATACAAAACAAAAATTATATCCTTTTTGTACTGCGGTGGAACTTTCGCGATTGCAGTGCTGGAAAAAGCCAGTACTATGAGCTCTACAAGGGAAGTCGGTTGGTATTTCTTGTTCATTTTATTCTGCAAACGTAGGATTTGCAATACCGAACGTAACGTAAAGCTAAATATTTTGTGATTGGACAGCACAAATAAAACTCTCGAACCATACAGTTGTAAACATACCATAACTCAGTGGTGGCGTTGACGCACCAAGTATATTAAAATGGTCGCCTTTCAGCCCTTTTCACGTGACTTATGGGAAATGGCTTTCACTCTATTTAGTGAAAGATATACAAAAGTAGGGCAAGAATACTCACAGTCGGCGGTGTTCAGCGGCAATGCAGTGCAAACGAATAGTAATGTTGCCAAGAACCTAAGATTCCTTGTAAGCATTGTCCTTAGTAAGAATGCACCAGTCTTCTCGAGATGAAATGTAGGAGTGGAAAGATTATCAGAATGTGTGTTCTGATCTCAGCCGTCTGCGGGCCAACACCGTACGCTGGGACTACGAAGCATGCGTGAAGCTAGACCTTAATAAAAAAGTGTCGTTTTATTCTGACAGTTGAAGCACCGTCCACAGATGTCACTCCGTCAAGCTGTAGCGAATCAAGTGCGCGTCGACCTTTGCCTGCTCTTCCACGCGTTGTTCTAGAACCTAGTTTTGTCCGTTTAACTTTGACAATTGTAAAGTGTTTTGGGGCAATAGGTCAAGGCCTACCAAGCGGTTGGATCGCCGTGGTAATGTCAGAAGGGCAGTATAGGCACGCTACAGTGCTGTACATTTGCAGTTTGCGACACCTAGTCAAATGAAGACTACGTTCAACGAAAAAATAAATATATCCCCAACCCCACGTATGGCTATGGTTTCGACAGTGAACGCTTGAATCTCATTTGAAACTAGAAGATGGTTAACTTGCTAAAATACAGCAGTGTTTGGTGTTACGTTTCAAAAGTCAACGGTGAAGACCAGAGTAAAAAAAGCATCGAATACTTTGTGGAGGAGTGATGGAGTAAGATATTTATGAAGCCACTGGATGATTTTATTGATGTTTATTTTGTTTATAGCAAAGTTTGCATGACACGCATGCAATGCAAATTCTATACAAATGTTTGTTAGGCTTTCAGAAGCCTCAGCATATATCTATTAACGTTACGCACACGTCTATTTCATGCACTTGTTCCTAGCCAGCCTATATCGCACCCAACGGCGCTATTCGCAACAAAGTTATATGTCTTTGGCGTCCTCTAGAGAAGTGCGCAAATGTGTCTGATATGCTGAAACTCCAGTAATTGCTCTATGATATCGGTTCTTTGAAAGGAGCTGATTGTATCCTGCACTCACAAACATCTAAAAATACCCGAATGAATTTGAGTTGCTTTGCGTATGGATACAGAGTGTTCATTCAATATGTGAAACATTCAGTCCAACGTGCACCATTTAGATGCACCTCGTATCGGTGTTAGCAAACCCGCAACTGTGAATTGTTGATAATAACACAACAATATTCTGCATAGTAGGGAGACACTTATTACCAAAGTCATCCTATTTTCTTATTTCCTTAATAGAAACAGCCTTCACTCGTCGTCAGTGCTTGTTCGTTTACTCGGCAAAAGCAAACAGTATGTCGATATACGTGGAGCGTTGGTGTTTCTAGCTTTTGTATCGGTGACAGAGCGCGACTTGGAACCAACCTGCCAAAACTTTGTCCCCTGCCTGCTGTCGTGACGTAATGAGGTGAATCGTTGATTTATGTGTAAGGTTGAACGTCTCAAAACCACCATATCATTATGCGAGATGCCTTAGTGGAAGGCTGCGGATATTTCGACCACCTGCGGTTTTTTAACGTGCACCAAAATCCGAACACACGGGCTCACAGAATTTTGGCCTCCATCGAAAATGCAGCTGCCGCTGTTAGGATTTGATCCCGTGACCTGAGCGTTAGCCGCCGAGTACCTCAGCCACTACACCACCGCGGTGGGGCTACAGGCGAATCAATAGGAATGCATCAGTCGCTGTATTGCAGAGATAAAAGACTTTGGACAATCAACATGCGGGCCTTGTGATACTGTTGCGGCTTTATTTTCGTTAGACACGATACGCAATGCGTAGCCGTGTAAGGAAAACACGTCTGTACATAAGATGACGGCAGACGTCGAAAGAGATGTATCCAATTTGCAGGACTGCGCTGATTACGCAGACATTGATTCCTGCAATTAAAATTTATTGTTGATTACAATTCGTGGTTGCAAGTTAGTTCCTGTTCCACTTGTTAAATTCCGCTAAACATTAGGTGCGCCAGTTCCTGCAGTTACAGCAATACTTTTTCACGCGGAAAAATGCTAACAGCGGTATGACTAAATTATGTATCACACGCCAGATATGACACATAAACCGCATTGAAGAGAAATTGTCGGAACACAGGCTGTCGCCGAAATAAAACAAGTAGACTTATCTTCTCTAACGCTTCAAATGCTTGCCGCCTAAAGAAATTGCAGCACCAAAACAAAATAGCCACAAATTGCAACAACCAAACAAAATAGTAGGAAAAAGTAAAGACTAAACCAAACACGGAGGGTTGGTGAAGAAGGGGCCAGTGGATCAAATTTTGAAGTCAATAGAAAATAAAAACCTATAATAGTTGGACTCGAAAACGAAACGAAGTGGCTGCAAGCCCTATAGAATGCATCAGGGAATTCGGATGCATCAGGGAACAACCATTGCTGCATCTTTGAAAAAACTGTGGAAGCAAGTAATTTTACTAACTGGGAGAATAATAACATCAAATACACCTAAACAAGTAAAAGCTGGTGCTATCAATTTAGAGGGCACAGAATTGGCGAACGCATTTAACCATTTTTTTGTCTATGTGGCTGTGGGTGATGAAGAGGCAAAAATAAGTGAAAACGAGGCAAATATTTCCGTGAATTCTCTCGTAATACACGAGGTATTACCGGATGAAGTCTACCAGTATATAAAATAACTAAAGACATACGTCGCTAGCGGTTATGATAACATACAGGCGGCTCAAGTTAAGGCTGTCACATCTGTACTTAGCCCCGTACTCGCATATCTTGGAAGCTACTCTTTTTTGACTGAAAGCTGTTAAAAAACTTCAGGGGGCCAAGGTTTCAACCATACATAAATGTGGTAACACTAGTGACCTAACTATAGTCCAATATCCGCGTTACCTGCATTGCGAAAAGTTTATGAGAAAGTACAAATACGCACCTCAAGAAATATATTGAGAAATATAATATCTTATTACTACATCAATACGGATTTTGCAAAACTCGCACCAAGAAAAATTGCCCGCAGCTTCCCTCGGGGGAACACTGAGGAGGATGCGGACCATATAATTGGTTAACGGGGTGTTAAAGTGCGACTTACTTGGGTCGATGGCTAAATTGGTTAACGTGGTTGTGAAATGGGGTGTTAAATTGCGACTTACTTGGGTCGATGGCTAAATTGGTTAACGTGGTTGTAGGAGGGGGTGTTAAATAAGTGAACACGTACACACGTATGCGAAAGGGCGGCGCTGGTCGAAGGGACGTCGATCATTGTGTTTGTGGATTCGTTGGAATTCATTTCACCGCGACCTTGGACGTCGACGCGCCGTACAAACCAACCGACGAGCGGCAACTGAGCGAGCGAGCGCCGACCTTGAGTATATATACAGCACGACGGCGCATGCACTGTCAGCTGTTGAATGTTCTCGAAGCGCGACACCACATGCGCGTCCACTGGAGAATCAGGAGAATTGTAGATGTCGAACGCGGTGTGTAGAGGAGGAAGGGTGCACAGATGGTGGAGGAGTGAAGCGCGCGCGGTGTGTAGAGGAGGAAGGGATGCACAGATGGTGGAAGAGTGGGCGACGGCGCGACGGCGCATGCGCGCGCGTCAGCTGTCGAATGTTCGAGAAGCGGTGTGGACGGCGCGGACGACGCGGACGGCGCACTATAAGGCGCGAGTATAAGATGCTCCGCATCTAAAAGGCACTAATCAGAGTAAAAAGTCGCACAATTGAAAATATTGATTGATAGATTGATTTGTGGGGTTTAACGTCCCAAAACCACCATTTGATTATGAGAGACGCCGTAGTGGAGGGCTCCGGAAATTTTGACCACCTGGGGTTCTTTAACGTGCACCCAAATCTGAGTACATGGGCCTACAACATTTCCGCCTCCATCGGAAATGCAGCCGCCGCAGCCGGGAATCGAACCCGCGACCTGCGGGTCAGCAGCCGAGTACCTTAGCCACTAGACCACCGCGGCGGGGCAATTGAAAATATTGAATGTAAAGTGTACAAGTTAGGTTCCTTTCTTGCCCCGCATGGTGGTCTAGTGTCTAAGGTACTCGGCTGCTGACCCGTAGGTCACGGGATCAAATTCCGGCTGTGGCAGCTATTTCCGATGGAGGTGAAAATGTTGTAGGCCAATGTACTCAGATTTGGGTGCGCGTAAAAGAACACCAGGTGGTCGAAATTTTCGGAGCCCTCCGCTACAACGTCTCTCATAATTTTATGGTGGTTTCGGGGCGTTAAACCCCACAAATCAATCAAATCAATCAGGTTGCTTTCTTGATTTGCACAAAGCCTTTGATTCTGTTGATCATGAATTTTTACAGTTGAGCTTAAGCCGCTATAAAATTCGCGGAGTAGTCTTCGACATATTGAAAAGCTACTTATCGCCGACTGATCAATTCGTTAGCATAGACAGTGAAAAGTGCGAATATTTAAACGTAAACAAAATAGCTTACCACGGCTCCGTTTTTGGCCCCGTGCTTTTTTTTATTATAAATGATATTACAGAGGTTCGGTACACACCCGGAATTAAAATGTTCGCTGACGACACGGCCATAATTTTCACAAGCTCCACCATTCAGGATGTAGAAGCTTCAACAAATCTACACTTTTTGAAACTATCAAGTTAGTTATTAAAAACAAACTAAATTCAAACGCATAGAACATCAAATTTATTTTGTTCAGACTTATAAAGAAGCGGGTCAGTAATAGTATACACATTTTACTCAGCAATCCGCGACTAGAACAAGTCAGTACATAAAAATTTCTCGCCGTCTGATTTCACGAGCACCTGTCATGGTCACCTCACGTAAATTGCCTCATAACATGTCTAGCTTATTCGGTAGATTGCTTGAGTAAAATTCCTTTCCTCCTCTCCCCACGAGTATTTATATTGCTGTATTAGAGCTTGTTCTACTCCAAACTTTTATATGATTGTTGCAGTGGAGGACAACTAGTAAGACCAATATTGATAGAATAATAATTTTGCAGAAGCGCGTGCTTCGTATACTAGAAAAATAAAAACGGTAAGCTCAAGGATTTAGACACTAAACCGCTTTTCTTTACCACGATATTCTGCCTGTTAGAAAAGTATATATTTTAAGCTGATGCAACATATACATAAACATAAACTGCAGGACTCCTCCCCACGCACTATATCAACTAAATATGGCTCCAGAAATGTTGCCCGCTAAACCTAGACA